GGCCTAATTTGCTGAGGCTGGCATCAAATTTGTAATCCTCCTGCCTCAGCCTTCCAAGCTACATGTGCTACCACATGTAGCACATAGACAACTTTTAAGCAGGTCAAACATTGGGGTCTAGGTAGGTCTCAGAGGTCAAGTCAGGGAGCAAGTACAAAGAAAAAGAGGCAAGAAACAATCTGGCAAGGGACACATGAGGACAAAGTCACAGTCAAAGCCTGGGTCTGGGATTTGCATGCAAATAACCACCCAGGCTCTGGATCATCAAGGTTCCACAGTGTTGTATTCTGAGCTAAAATGTGGAATTTAGGCAGGCAGGAGACTGAAAACCAAGAAAAAGTTTATGGAGAACATCCAAAAATGAAGATGTATTTTCCTAAGTACAGATACTCTTCTATTTACAATGGGGTTATGTTGTAATAAGCCCACTGTAAATTGAAAATATTGTCAGTCCAAGGCCCTGGGTTTGATCCTCAGTACCACATTACAAAAAAAAAAAAAATAGAGCATTGAACCCAACTACACCTAAAAAATAAATATCTTTTTTAAAAAAGCATTGAGGTGGGGCTGGGGTTGTGGCTCATGGTAGAGCGCTCATCTAGCACGGCTGAGGCACTGGGTTCGATCCTCAGCACCACATAAAAATAAAGTAAAGGTTACTGTATCCACCTACAACTAAAAAATATATTTTTAAAAATGCATTGAGGGCTAGAGGTAGAGCTAGAGTTAATATTGGAGAGGCCCTGGGTTCCATCCCCAGCACCAAAAAAAAAAGGGAAAGGAAAGGAAAAGAAGGAAATGCACAGAGTGCACCTAACCTGTGGAACATCCTAGCTTGGCAACATAGCGCATGTAGAGTGCTGGTTGTTTCCCCTCGTGTTCTCTGCTGTCCTTGGCTGTAAGGTAACAATCATGAGTGGACCAACCCCAGAGTGGTGGTGAGGATGCAGAAAGACAAGGCATGTAGCTTAGTGTGGCACCTGGCAGGTGGGAAGTGCTTAAGCTAAGGGCCTGGGATGTAGCTCAGTAGTAAAGCAGTCTTGTGGTTCAATCCCCAGTACCAAAAAAATAATAAGAAATTTGTACATACACACTTTGTGTGTGTGTGTGTGTGTGTCTCTGGGAATGGACTCCAGTGTCTCCCATCTGCTAGACAAGTGCTCTACCACTCAGCCACATCCCACCATAAATATAACTTCTATTTTTTTTTTTTTTTTTTTACAAACCCTTGTGTTGAGGGCTAAATATAACTTCTGTGTGTTGTGTGATACTGGAGATTGAACTCAGGAACATTCTACCACCTAACTACATCCCCAGCCCTTTCATTTATTTTATTTTGATTCAGGATCTCAATAAATTGCTGAAACAGGCCTCAAACTTGTAATCCTCCTGCCTTGGACTTCTAAGCAGCTGGGATTACAGACATGCGCCACAATACCCAGACCTGCTACCAGGGATTGAATTCAGAGGTGCTTAACCACTGAATCATATCCCTAGCCCTTCTTATTTTTTTATTTTGAGTCAGGGTCTAGCGCCACCAGGTGTGCACCACCAGGCCTGGCTTAATTATAACTATTCTTGGTGGGGGGAGTTCTGGGGTTTGAACTCAGGGGCACTTGACACAGAATCACATCCCCAGCTCTAATTTGGGTTTTATTTAGAGACAAGGTCTCACTGAGTTGCTTAGCATCTCCCTTTTGCTGAGGCTGGCTTTGAACTTGAGATCCTCTTGCCTCAGCCTCCTGAGCTGCTGGGATCACAGGCATGCATCACCTGCCCAGCTTAAAATGAAATTTTAAAAAAAGGGGCTGAGGACACAGCCAGTGATAGAACACTAGCTCTGCTTTCAATCCACATAGAACTGGGGGGCGGGGCAGTTGGTGTAATAAAACAACAGCAACAGATCCTGTCTTGGAACCTTGGACATACTTAGTTTACACCTCTGGGTCTGTTTTCTTAATTATTAAATGGGATGCCAACTCCATTCTTCAGGGCATGAATGAAATAACTTAGGGAAATTGCCAGGAATGCCTTACAGGGTCAACCACCTTAGGACTTTTCCCACTGTAGAGCTCATTCAGATAAATCTGTCTTTTATCCCTCCAGTTCTGAGGCTTCATGCATGCTAAGCTCACACTGTACCACTGAGTTACATCCCCAGACCAGATCAGCCACTCTTGGGAGAGAGTCTGGGTCTGATCTCAGTTTCCTGCACTACATGAAGTCAGGTTTCTGGCCCTTGTGTGTCTCCACCTCCAGTGCCAACCGCCAGCTGCCCGCGCTGGAAGGGAAGCCAGTACCCTACTTCTCCTCTCTGGAGTCAAGCATTGATATCTTGAAGAAAAGAGCCCAGGAATTGATCGAAAACATCAACGAGAGCAGGCAAAAGGATCATGCACTCATGACCAACTTCAGGGACAGCCTCAAGATCAAGGTGACAAACTTTCCATAATGGGACTGGGGGTGTTCCTCACATAAAAGGGGAGGGAAGGCACCTTAGCTGGGCTCTGTTACATTCTAGGTACTGTGCTAGGCAATTCACACACAGTATCTCATTCTACTATTACAACACTCAAGAGATGGGACCCATTTCAGATGAGAAAAGTAAGGTTCAAAAATAAATCATCTGAGCTGGGTGCAGTGGCACACGCCTGTAATCCCAGCATCTGGGAGGCTGAGACAGGAGGATCATGAGTTCAAAGCCAGCCTTAGCAATGGTGAGGTGCTAAACAGCTCAGTAAGACCCTGTCTCTAAATGAAATGCAAAATAGGGCTGGGGGGCTGGGGATGTGGCTCAAGCGGTAGCACGCTCGCCTGGCATGCGTGCGGCCCGGGTTCAATCCTCAGCACCACATACAAAGATGTTGTGTCTGCCAAAAACTAAAAAATATTTTAAAAATTCTCTCTCTCTCTCTCTCTCCTCTCTCTCTCTCTCTCTCTCTCTCTCTTTAAAAAAAAAATAGGGCTGGGGATGTGACTCAGTGGCCTGAGTTCAATCCCCGATACCCTCTCAAAAAAAAGAAAAAAATACAAAATAGAGCTGGAGATGTGGCTCAGAGGCCAAATATGCCTGGGTTCAATCCCTGGTACCCCAATAAATAAGTGATTTGGGCTGGGGGTGTGGCTCAGTAGTAGAGCACCTACCTAGCATACATGAGGCCCTAGGTTTGATCCTCAGCACCATCAAATTAAGAAAAAAATTTAAAAGAAAATAAAAGGCTTAGTTGGTAGAACTCTTACCTAGCATGCGCAATACCCTGGGCTCAATCCCCAGCATCACCAAAAATAGAAAAGAAAAAGTAAAAATGATTTGCCCTAGTGAGGGAACCAGGTTCATCTGCCAAACCCAGCCTCTCACCTCACACAAATGTGAACAGCAGCAGGAGTAGGAACCATTAATAGCTCATAATAGGAACCTTTGATAGCTTATCACACCTGTGTGCTCTGGAAGTTGTCAGTGGTTTGTGACAGGACAGAGGTTCCCCCAACACTCCTGGGGTTTATGTCTGACACAGCTTGATGTTATGCTCAGGTCTGACATTAATGGTTGTGCCTCTTGAGAATTACAGTAGGCAGAGCCCATGAACTTGCAGAGTGCTCTGGGGTCCCTAAGTCAAACCTTTTTATTTTCAAATTCCATCTAGTCGGGATGGGGATGTGGCTCAAGCGGTAGCGCACTCACCTGGCATGCGTGCGGCCCGAGTTTGATCCTCAACATCACATACAACAAAGATGTTGTGTCCGCCGAAAAGTAAAAACAAATATTAAAATTCTCTCTCTCGGGCTGGGGATGTGGCTCAAGCGGTAGCGCGCTCGCCTGGTATGCTTGCGACCTGGGTTCAATCCTCAGCACCACATACCAACAAAGATGTTGTGTCCGCCGAGAACTAAAAAATAAATATTAAAAAATTCTCTCTCTCTCTCCCCCCTCTCTCACTCTCTCTTAAAAAAAAAAATTCTCTCTCTCTCTCTCTTTCTCTTAAAAAAAATTCCATCTAGTCATTCTTTGGTATCTACAGTAGAATTTATTCCAGGACCCCCAAATATACCAAAATGTATGGATGTTCAAGTCTCTTATATCAAATAGTGGAACAATTTTATAGAACCTGCACACATCCCCCTATCAACTTCACATCATCCCTAGATGACTGTTAATATTGAATACAATGTAAATGCCATGTAAAGAGTTGTTATACTCTAATGTTTAGGGAATAATGACAAGAAAAAGTCTGTACATGTTCAGTACAGATGTAATTGTTCAAATATTTTAAAATTTTTTGTCGTTGTAGATGGAGAGAATGGCTTTATTTTATTTGTTTATTTTTATGCAGTGCTGCGGATTGAACCCAGTGCCTCATGCATGCTAGGCAAGTGCTCTACCACTGAGCTATGGCCTCAGCCCCTTGTTCAAATATTTTTGATCCATGGAGTGAATCCCTGGATGTGGAACCAGCAGGTGCGAAGGGCTGACCGTACCTACTCTTGTTTGCAGTGGTAGAGATGGAACCCAAGGCTCCTGAGTGCTAGGCAAGTGCTCGACCACTGAGCTGTTACCTCAGCTGTTATCTGTACTTTAGCATTTTGTTTTAAAAAATGAAAAATTTAATATGTAGGCAATTTTACTTCTATCACTGGAATTCTTTGTACCATTTTAATAAATTGCAGAATTCTAAAAGACTCACTTAGAACTGTAAGGGTAAAATTTCTAAGCTGACTCTAAGCCGCAAAGCCCGAGTTAAAGTGTAAAAGACCGGGCATTGTAAAGTTTCTAAACTGCAAGGCCTGGGTTAAAAAGTAGAAGATCAGGTATTGTTAAAATTCCTCTGCTACCCCCAGAACCTGTAATCCCTGTAGCTGTTAGGACAATACTGGAACTGCCCAGTAAATATCTCCACTGTTTCCACTGGTTGTCTAATAACCTTGGA